AAGGGCATGCGCGCGGATGCTTTAAATAGACGCAGGAGCATTAATTATATGCTTGCTGGGGAGAGGTGCCTCTCTCTAAGTGTAGAAATTATTTCACACATGCCCATTATAACAGGAGGTGCAGGCAGACACCATGTGGTAGTGTAGGACCGACAGCATCAGCATCACCAAAGTCAAAGCCTCTCCTATTAAGGGGGTTTCCTTATTCTGAGCTGATTCTGAGGCTCTCACCGCCTTCCAGGAAAATCGATAATGAACCAGGAAATTTGTTCCCGATGCCCAGGTAACATAAAATCCAAACAGATTTGTTTTAGTGGAAATAATGTGGTGCAAATCCCTGAAAAACGGGATTCTTCAAAAGGTTCAGAAGCCACTTTGGAGCCTCTTGACATTCCTATGAAGGTTAAAAAACAACACCACTACACTCGGGTAAACACAAGATCATAAAAGCTGCTCAGTATTCAAAATCAATCCAGCATTGATTGCTTTTCTGCTCAAAGCCATCACTAATTAATACTTGATCACTGGCTGGATCATAATTGCATAATTGCTGATTTTAAGGGCCTGAGTTGTGTGTGTGTTTCTTTTATTTAATTTTTTCATATATATATATATATATTTGTGTGTGAGAGAGAGAGAAGTGATTTCCTCTTATGACTGATTATGGTGTCCTCCTAAGCTGTGAATACAGGTGAATAACACACAAGGACTCTAAAGCCAGAGTCTACATGGGAAGCCCTATCCAGTGCACTAATGAGGGGAAACAAAAAAAAAAGGTGGACTCCTCCATGATTTTGATATGTTTTGACATTATTTTAAAGCACAATCAAGCAGAAGGCTTTTCCTGTGTTGAGTGATAAGACACATGTGACCCTTTGCCTTGTTTCCATGGACACATCATTAGAGAACTTCCCCAGCTGGCTCCAACTGCTTGAAGTGTTGACGTCAAATAACAAGTGAAGGATTTGGTTATAACCAAGACAAAAGCACAAAGGGCTTCATAGGGCTTACAGCTATGATATAATGGAGCAATTAGAGTTTATATTCTACGCATGTTTAGTCAGTGAGTATTGCTTTAATATCTTTTTTTTTTATTAATCTGTTGTCATCCTTCATTGGATACTCTGTTGGATTCCTATTCAGAATGAGGTATATTGTTTTAAATCACACTAATGTCATTTAAAGATGGTTCAGACAATTTACTTTTATCATCAGTGCAACACTTGGATGTGCAAGTCACCATTTGTACCAAACAGATAAAAGTTTTGGAACACTTCTAGCATGCAGCACTTAAAATAAAGATCGACACATTCTGCTGATCGTTCAGTCGGTCAAGTCAAAGCTCCCAAAAACTAGGAAATAAAAGAAAGAGTGCATCGATGTTTCCTGTGGTTTTGATTGTTTAAATTGGAAATGAAAAAATGCACCCACTCAGACTTCACCCACTTTGTTCTACATGTGAAAAAAAATCTTTAATAAGAATGAAGGAGTAGAAAAAACAGTAGTGAGAATGTACTCAGTGTTTTGCCATCATGAGTAATTTAGACTTTCAATATGGTGCAATGCAACTTGCAGCAACATACTTGCGCACTTGGCTTGTAACTCAAAATATGTAAAAAGACACATTAGTAAGAATTTATTTGTACACCACCTTTCTGACACAAAACTACAAGGTGCACACATTAAAAATAGAAACAATACCACATGCATACATTAGCATGGCCATCTTAAATTAACACATTTACAAACAAACACACACACACACACATATTTCTCACATTTTTAATTGAAGTCGCCTACTCAGATAATTACACACGTTCATCATGTTTACGGATATGGACACGACCTCTTGCTCTGTGCTTTTCTTTTCCTGTGCTTGTTGCGCCTCCCTCAGGAAGAACAGAGAACTGACAAAGAGTGATGTTTTCGATTTGGTCTGGAAGCATTTTTCTGCTTGTTAGGACCTGTATCACAGTCATATTTGATTAAACCTTACATTTCTCTATCAGGCGTCTCATCACCTCATTCACAACTTAAGCTTATTTGACAGAACAAACGGGATATCTACTTATCTCCTGCCACAGATCACAGCATCCTACATCCATATTGGACTATTAGGGTATGGATGTGCAAAACAGTAAAAAGAGTCACACTGAGTAGGAGCAAACTCTTGTAGTTGAATATGTGATGCAGCTACAAGCCGCAATACAGTGTGAAATTAAAGATAAGCAACAAATGGTGAGAAGAATCACACTAATATTTGTGTGGTTGTGTTAAAACTGGGCTGCCTGGTGGATCGGTGGTTAGCATCATTGCCTTGCAGCTAGAAAGTCGTCGGTTCGTGTCCCGGTGAGGACACCTGGAATCTTTCTGCATGGAGTTTGCATGTTCTCCCTGTTTAGTGTGGGTTCTCTCTGGGTTCTCCGGCTTCCTCCCACAAAAACATGTTGAGGTTGATTCTAAATTGTCCGTAGGTGTGAATGTGAGTGTGCTTGGTTGTCTGTCTCTAACTGTAGCCCTGTGATAGACTGGTTACCTGTCCAGGATGTCCCCTGCTTTCGCTGGGATAGGTTCCAGCCCTCCCGTGACCCTAGTGAGGATGAAGCAGCATATAGATAATGGATGGATGCATGTGTTGAACCTACAGAACACATCTGACAAAGGCAAGCTTACAAGAACATTGACAAATAATGAAACAATTTCCAATCGTTGTGTCCGTGTGGAGTTTACATGTTCTCCTGGACTGGTACTCAAACGCTTCCTGCTACGGTCCAAAGACATGCATGTGAGGCTAACTGGGTGATTCTAGACAGGGCGTAGGTGTGAGGGTGCATGGTTGTCCATCTCTTGTCATGTTGGCCATGCGGAGGACTGCTGACTTGTCCAGGATGTACCAAACCTCTAGCCCACTGTCAGCTGGGCTCCAGCCGCCTGCAGCCATCTACAGGATGAAGCACATGTAGCTGATGGATTGATGGATGGTTCATAAGAAGGCAAAAAAACTGGGTCTGATTAAATTATTTAAAAAAACAGTTAATAACATTCAGGATGTTTTGCTCCATGACGTCATTAGGTATCCAATGACAGTGCTGCTTTGTCCTTCTACATGGAGAGTAGCACAATGTTGTACTGATGTTTGTGGACTTTATTATTTAGGTTGTCATGATGAGCTGCTGAACAAATACACTGCTGCACATTTCCTTTGTTTAAGAACATCATTAGAAAACACTATCTGTAAAATAACTTTGAAAGTCTGGCAGCAAGATACCAGCAAAAATATATTTAAAAAACAACTGTGTATACTTTAAATACGTTATAAATGGTGAAAATAATGCAAATATCTGTGAAATAATGATATTTCTGGCTGATTGTAAAAGACAATGTAAAAGAAGGAATTACTCTTGATAAAATATAGATTATGATGTGAACATTAATTACAGTTTAGACTTTTTTTTTTTTTTACAACTAACATGTAGATTGGTTCTTTTTTTTATGTGATTTTACTATCTATTATCTGTAATTTAACAAACAGACAAAAAAAAAGTAGAATAACGGCAGCTAGTTCTGAAATTACAGTTTAAAACTGTTTAAAACACTGTTAAAAAAGACAACTTTGTTTATGTATCAGTAGTTACATTGAATTACTACCATTGAAATAGTGGAGTACTGTGAACTATACTGAATATTTCAAAACAACAACAACCACAACAACAAAAAACACAGTATTTAATAATCTATTAAATTCTATTTATTCTTTTTTTTTAACTTACAACAGTGAGTATTTGTTGTTTTAACGCATGACGTCTCTACAACAGAATGGCAGATTGTAACTGGGGTCATAGATCAGAAATCACATGTCAGTAGGGAGTCACACATGTGTGACACATAGAATTAATGAGGTTGTTGATGTTTCTTGTGGAATGTTTCCCCATTCTTCCTGAAGGGCTGGGTGAAGTTGGCAGACATGTGATCACATAATGTCACATTCATACATACGTACAGCCAAAAGCATTATGTGTTAGACTGTCTGTCGTACCAGGCTGTCTGATAGAATTTATTAGATTACAAAAGGTGACAGTCCGGACATTCAAGTGCATGGCTATAGTTCTGACGTACCAGCATCCATTATGACAATAGCTTGTTCTTGTCTTTCTCTTGTCATCTGTAACATTGGTGTGGATTCAGTCAGTGGTTTAGAATTTGTCACTTGTTGAACAGCTCAAACACTGAGACAAGATACGTATTTTAAAATCCCGCAGCAAAGGAAATTCGCAGTGTTACAACAGCAAAAGAGCTAAAAATATAACGGCATCAGCAGAAAAAAAAGAAAAAAGAAATACACATAAGCACTGTGATGATGCACAAATGTGTCTACATGAAGAAATGCAGATACTGCACACATTTCTTTGTATGTGCCAAACAAACAAACAAACAACATTGCATAGATTTATTCCATGTGGAAAGAGACATCGCATTGCACAAATTCTTCCGTGAGCAGAAAGGTACTTGTATTGCAGGGACTTGTGTATATGTTGAAAAAAATTTACATGGTGCAGTGTATTTTAAGTTTTCATAAGTTTAAATACATTGATGTAGTACCAGAGTGACATAAGTTTTTCAATGTGTGCTGGTTGTGGTTCTGTTTTGATGCACAATTGGCTAAACTTAACTCTTTTTTAATTGTGACAATAGTCAGAAAGACAGAGGGAAAAAAAAGATAATTTTTGTGTAGTATACTTGAAATAAACACTTTTTTTTCAAGTAGAGGGAAAAAGCTCCACTCCACAGTCAGGCTGCAGCTCTGACTCCAGCCGGCAGGGGGCGATGTGGGGGCTGTGAGGCGCTTCATGCGCTGCCTCATTAAACAAGTGGAAGAAGAAGAAGAAGAAGTAAAACGATTCTGCTGTTTGGTAGCTTAGCCCGAATGTGCCTCCAAATGTGCTAGAAACGCGAGGGGAACCAAATTTCGGATACGCTCTGTACTTTGAATGTCATTACCTCCACACCATGGCGGACTATTACCTCCTGTTGGAATTCGACGTCTCGGCCGAAAAGGACTGTCGCTGTTTGTGTAGCTCTTGTTGTTATTGTAGCTAGCGCCCGTGTTAGCGAAATTAGCTAACGCTGCTGTTTTCACTTCAGCATAACCGATGTCGATTCATTGCTGCGGGGCAGTAAACCGCAAAAACAAGGTAACCCTGCCGCAAGTTGCAGGCATTCACAACTTATCGGAATAATGTTCATGTTACGTTTTTCAAGTCGTTAGTTAATCGGCCTAAGCCAGACTTTTAGGAAACGTTGCAGTACACGATATGCTGACGCTATTTTTTAAAAGTAATATAAAGATTTTCCGCTGCATGCTTTGAAAAGGGACGAGTCAGTCAAAATGTCATGACTAGCTGAGGTTAGCTAACACACCGAACGCTGCCAGCTTGAACGGTGACTCGCTGGCGTTGTTGCTGTCGACATGTTTTGAGATGTAGCAGCAGACAGACAGCGAGACCACTCTCGCTCTGCACAGCACATCTGTCTGAGCTGAACGCCTGTCAGGGGGGGAAACCATGTCTTGCAAAGCCGCAACCAAGGACAAGAAGTCCAGCTTCAGCAAGAAGCTGTTCAGGCGAGGCTCAGTGCGCTCCGTGGGCAGCTTTATGAGCAGAGTCCTGAGGACACTAACAGCGTTATCTCACTTTGGATCCGAAGTACAAAACGAGGATGACAAAGATGATGGAGGGTTCTCCACTTTCAAATCTGGAAGCAAAGATGTGCCCATGGAGGACGGGGACCTGGGGGGTTTCCTGTCTGGGGAGAGAGTTCCTGGAGTGTCAGGTCTGAAAAACCACGGCAACACCTGCTTCATGAATGCCATTCTGCAGTGCCTCAGTAACACTGAACTCTTTGCTGAGTACCTCGTTTTGGAGCACTATAAAGGCGAGGAGCTGGATGAGGACAAACCAAAGACAAATGGTGTGCATTTGCAGAAAAAGGGTCCTCTGGCCAAAGGAGAAGTTACAGAGCAGCTGTCAGGACTTGTTCGGGCTTTATGGACGTTTGAGTACACCCCCCAACATAGCAGGGACTTCAAGGTAAGAATGACATGGATGAAGCAATTACAAGTTGGCATTGATGTGACTGAGATTGTATTTTTACAGTCAGCGTGTTCATCAGGGGCAGATATCCCAACACTGCTACAAAAATGATTTATTAAGGTAATCGAGATAAAACATTACTGGAAAAACATTGTGAAGTGGATGTATATACGCTCAACAGCTTTACATTGTGTTCTAGGTCTTTTAAATTTGGAAATGTCTGCATGTATAAAAGCATGTAAAAGAACAAAAGTGATAGCTGCTTATTTCTTCAGGCTGTGGGGATGTTTTCGACTATTATAATAAGAATGTAAAGACTACATATAAAAAAGCAAAAAAAAAATTTCTCAAAAGCCTAATATGGAGTCGAAGCAGCCACTTCTATTTGTGGTTCCTTTATTTAGAAACGTGTACATGTAAGAAAGCCTTAGGAATTCTGTTAAACATTCTTCGCTGTGGGAAAAGTTACTATGCAAACACAGGCTGGAGATCATGATGTGACCTGCCTCACCGCCAACCATGAGGCAGTTAGGATCTGACGTTGAACATGGTTTACGACATGATCTACAGATTCAGGGTCACTTCAGGATAAACTGTGCTGAGATTTCTCCACTGTGCTGTTTGTTGCAGAATGCTGTGTCAAAAAATGCCACGCAGTTTAAAGGGAACGCTCAGCACGACGCTCAAGAGTTTCTGCTGTGGCTGCTGGACAGAGTGCACGAGGACCTCAACACAGTGAACCCCAACTGCAGGCCTGCTATAAAGGTGAACATATTTAGGGGATTTTAAGGGTGTAGTCTGGTGGTTTTAGCCGAAGTTTGTTTGATGAAACTGATGTTGTCTTTTGCCAATTACACAGCCATGCAGTTCTTGGCAGTTTTAATTCAATGCTGTTTTGTTCTGTTTTATTATAACTCACAGGTGTTTCACCCTCTGAACCCCAAAACCCACTGGTGGGTTTAAAAGCCGTGTTTTTTTCAAAATTACATCGTTTGTCAGATGGAAACTGTGGAAACAGAAAGAACGAATAAAGAGGATTTTCCAACTTTCTGGCAGTCCTTGAACTTCTCATCTGTGATGCGCTGTTCAATCAGGAAAATGACCAAATCTGGACTTAAAACCAGATTTAATCAAAATCACTTCATTCTACATGTCTAATTTTAAAATTGCATAAACCAGTGTCTGTATAAAAACAAACAAAAAAAACAATTCTGAGCTTCTTGCCGTAATCGTGAAGCAGTTTGTAACTCAGTTATGACCAGCAGACGTGTCAGAAATTCAAAATCTTCAGCTGAGCAGGCTGTGTTTATACCGAATAGATAAGAGACACATATGGACACAGAATAAAAACGTAGATTGCAAAACATCTGTAATATGTACGGTTTGAATTTTTTTCTCATATTTCTCACCTGTAAGCATTTGGAAAAATGTTGCGCTTATTGACTCCAGGTTTTTGTAAAATATGTAATTATTTAAAAAAAGAAAAAAAAGAAAATTCTTTTTCATGATTTATGGCATTATAGCAGTTTCATATGGGACATAATATCTGTCTGATTCTAGTCATGGTTGTTCTGTTTCCATGGAGGTGCATAACTTTACATTGCAGTGAAAAATGAACTTACAGTGAGTAAAAATGTGACAGGAGCAAAAAAATGGCTTGCAGCTGCTCAGGGTTCAGAGGGTTAATGTGTTCTGGTCACTCAATGCATCTTGGAAATGAACTGCTTTCAAAGTTTGGCTAAGCTGGTCTTGCCCGTCCTTATTATTGTTTCCCTGGAACTGGTCAACAACACAGAATATGAAGGCTGTGTCACTTGTACTGTATTTTATGACTCCAGATAGATGAGTATTGTTTAATATTATTATTAAACCAGACTAATAAAACCTGCTTGTGTTTGTTCAGCCTCCTATTGAAGAAGATGACCAAAGCATAGAGGGTCCATCTCCTCCCCTCTCTGCTGGGTCCTTTGTGCAAGAACTCTTTCAGGCTCAGTACAGGTGGGCCTGATGTCTAGTAGAAGCTCTGTGTTCTGACAGTGAGGCCACATTATCTTTCTGGTATATGAATATTATTATGATTTTTTTTTCTCAACAGGTCTTCTCTTACCTGCCCACATTGCCAAAAGCAGAGCAATACGTTTGATCCCTTCCTCTGTATCTCTTTACCAATCCCGCTGCCACACACTCGGTAAGTTTCTCTCTCGAGCTCTGCTAGAGCAAAGGGAGTGATCGGTTTAGAGTGTGAAAATGACAGGTTTTTACATGTTCATAAGTAATTATTATTGTTTTGTAAGGTTGGTTTTCTCCAGTCAAGCAAACACGTTGCATTTAAAGCGATCACACCTTTCATTGAAAATCAAACTGAAAAAGTGTGTTCACCAGTTGACAAGGACATGAAGCAAGTATCAGTGTGTGTTGTTGCAGAAGGGATAATTTGACCTGTTTTGTCAGGAAACATGATCAAGTGTGATCATTCCGGCAATAAAGAAAGTAGAAAGACTGGAAACTTAGCTCTTATAGTTGTTGTAGAGCGTTGTGTAGTTTCTGGTCTTCGTGCTCTGTGCTTCAGTGCACTCATTTTAATTTTTAAATTAAAGTCTTAGCTTTAATATGAGTATGTTGACTTTAGTATCAAAAGAACTGTGCATGGAATAAAGGCGTCTTCACATAAATTACAAGAGTTCAAACATAATTAGACCCAGTAGCAGAGTGTCCTCTCAGCATCACATCTTGCACAAAAGAGCTCAGATGTGGGTCAGAGTTGTCATTTTGGTTGAGGTGGAGTTTTCTTCTAATATGAGGAGCTAAGGACTGAAGAAGGTAGTAATTAGGTCCAAAAGAGCAAAAATGTATCAGAGAACTGTCAAAGGTAGTTGCTTTACATTCTAAAAAAAAAAAGCAGGTAAGGAAAATGGAAAAGGGCAAACAACATGTCAGGCCAAGTAGCACAAGTCTTGTGGATGACTGGAAAATAATTAGCATAACGAAGAATAACTCCTTTATGACTGTGTATATCAAGAATCATTTCTAGGATTTAGAGGTACATGAGTTACATGTTTCCATTGCAGTTTGCAAAAACGACAAACTGGTAGAGTTCTGAGCAGAGTTCTGTGTAAAAAAAAAAAAAAAGAGTACAGCATTACCAGGGAAGCCACTAGATGCTAAGAATTATCCACAAAATGCCAAATATGATGATTTTGTTTGACCTGATGTGTCTCTACTCAGTTACTTTTGAATCCTTAATGTCTGGATGCTGTTATGGCTGTATATTTTTCATATAGTAAACAATGTTGAGGCTATTGTTTTAATTTGTGTTGCCTTCTTTTTTTCCAGGCCCCTGTATGTGACAGTGGTCTACCAGGGAAAGTACTCTCACTGTATGAGGATTGGAGTCGCTGTTCCTCTCAACAGCACCGTCTATCGCCTCAGAGATGCTGTGTCACGTGAGACCAAGATCCCGATGGACCAGGTGCTATTCCTGTCACTTATCTGACACAGTGAGACTGTATTACAGCCACAAGGTGCCAGCTTAGTGTTCCGTAAACCAGGCGTACCTTTGAACAGTAGTTTCTATGAACCCAGTTTTCATAGATTCAGTTGAAAAGTCATACATAGTTCTAACAGTGTGACTTTTGCACTGCAGCAACTGAGCGTTAAGACTGATTAAAAGTGCCTGTAAGTGTAAATGATAGCGAAGGATAAGAGATGTTGTTAAGGTTCCTGCATTGCTCTTTATAATAACAACATAAAAACCTTTGAAGAACTTAAGCAGGATAAGTGGTGCACGTTTTTAAATTTGCTCTCGTTTTCTCTTGAAGTTCGTTTTGACAGAAATGTACTACGACGGCTTTCATCGTTCGTTTTGCGATGACGACGATGATCTCGACATCATTCAAGAGAGCGATTCCATCTTTGCCTTTGAGACACCAGAGACCTTCAAACTGGAAAACATACGCACAAAAAGAGGTAACTCTGATGCTGTGTTTTTAAAATAATGTTATTATATTATATTTCTGGCTTGTTCACACTTCATTTAATAAATTGGAAACCATCAAAATGTGCCTTCTCTCTCTGTCACAGGAAGTCTTCTGGCAAACCTGAATCACAACAACTTGAAGTACGGGACAGAAATCAGCAGGACTCCGTCTTTCATGCAGGGAGCCATGACACCTGTAACCGCATCACCCAATAAAAACCTTGGACCGGAAAAAATCATCCTTCTGGTGTGTAACAGAGCATGTACTGGCCATCAAGGAAAGAGGTAAGCCACTCAGAATGTGTTCTGTTCTTTGACTCTGAGATCATGTAACACATGCTCTGCTCTCATGTTTCTGTCACTGACAAAGACTGCCTGTTGTCAGAAAGTACAGCTTGTCTTGGGCTGAGAAGAGAAGTTATTATTAGCTAATAGAAGCTTTGCATAATTTCTTTTTTTAGGTTTGGCCTGCCTTTCGTACTGTACATGGAGCGCACTGTGACCTGGGATGCTCTACAAAAAGAGATCCTGGAGAAAATGCGTCATCTTCTGAGGCCGGGGGTCTACATTCAGGTAGGAAGAGGAACATTCATTCTGTCTCATATGCTAAACAAAAGATGAATGAGTAATCACTTTAGCAGAGGAAGCACATTTTAAATGTTACGGATGAATTTATTCTTTTTTTTTTTTATGTCTATGTGAAGGTTGGACCTTTCAGTCTTCGGGTGGTTGGCGTAGTTGGTATCACCTACCTCCTTCCCCAAGATGAGCGACCGCTGTGTCACCCAACTGTGGAAAGGTCAGCTCTAGTATTTCATGTTAGATTCAATTATGACTTTGTTAGAGTGGAGCTACATATCTCAGATCTGATATATACTTGATATAACGTTATGTCAACAAACAAAACAGGGACTTTTGGTGCCATTCATGTTGAAAAGGTAAAAAACAGTTTCTAAGGAAAAATAATTAGTGTCAGATCTCTTTGCCTTTTGAAGGAATTTCGCAGTGGCCTTATTTCTATTTTTGTCTCCTCCTTTAACCCAAGTCAGAACCAGCCAGACACTTTATCCAATTGGATATAGGCAAGAAAAGTAAGCCCTTCCACAGAAGATATTTGGATCCAGCGTGTGAAATCAGATAGTTTGCAGTAGTGTAACAGTAATTTAAACAAAACTACACAGCACTTTCTTAAGGGTGCATTCCTCTCGCCTGGCTGTATTCGTGTCTGAATGTTGAGAAAACGTTCTCAGCAGTGACGTCAGTGGAAGGTGAAAGTGAGCTGGGCTGAAATCAAAACAAACGCTGTACATTCATATGTACACAAAGGTAAAGACAGGCTTGAATCAGGCAACAGTGTGAGGTCCAAATACATCTTCGTTCTCTTTTATACTCATGTCTGCACACCCATCAATTCTGCTCCTCTCATACGTAAAGGGAGAGGACGTGCCCCAACAAGATTTTGATTGTTTGTTAAAATGGCAGTTGGACATGTTTGACTTGTAACCTACGCAATTTCTCAATAATGAAACAAGTCACAGCAGGTCCATAGAGATGCATGAATCAAAGTAAAATCAAAGTTGGTTTTGTTATTGCTCTTTATGTATATATTTTTTGAAAAGTAGTCGCTTTTATGACAACTAGCATGCGTTTGACGTTTATTAACACAATGTTGTAATGGATGGATGGATGGATGTATGTTTGTTCTTGTAAGTGTAAATGACTTCAGTTTTTGGATTAACCTCCCCCAGAGGAACTTCCTTCACGCTCAATCAGATTTTGTATAACATGTGATTGAATGGAGGTTATGCAGTACATTGTCTCTACACACACACATTTACAGTGACACAGATAAAGAAGTATAACATCCTATTCATAAATGGCACCTGCTTTAATCACTTTCATCCTGATTTTGTTTTCCCTTCAGAGCATACAAGTCCTGTGGACAAGGGGGACCACCACATGTAAAGATTGTGGTTGAGTGGGACAAAGAAACCAAGGACTAGTGAGTAAACAGGACTAATATTTGCTTGGCTTTTGTGGTCACTTTGATTTGTTGACAGTACACAGTGTGTTTGTTCTGTAGAGAATGGATTTGACATTTGATTGTTGTGATCGCTACTTAGAACAACACATTTAATTTTTTTATGATGATTTTTTGTTGCAAAATTGGCAGAAGATGTTCAGAGAACAGGTTGAGCTACTCATCGTAGTAACTTATCTTGTAGACGTGGCACCAAATGTGTAATTTGCTGTAATTGTATTGAAGACTATCCGTTACCTGACAGGCGAATAAGCTCGGCTAAGTACGCAATTATATTCAACACAACTTAGATGACAGTCAATGTGGAACACCAAACATTGTGAAAAACTGTTTCTGAAACTTGTAGTTGTATCGATCAATCATAGCAGAGAGGATATTTCCTAGAAAACACAAACAGTATCGTATACTGAGCCAAAGTGTGACCTGGAAGTATTTGAAGACGCCAACTGACATCCAAAAATGTTGCAAAGTTTTGACCTTTAATTGATCCTGACCTGATGTGATTGCTCTCTGCTTTAGAAGGCATAGTGAAAGCGACACCCTGCTAGTGCTCCGTAGTAATTTCAGTGCCATTAATAATAATGCCACCATTCTCCATTTTATTAGCTTTGGTACTTGAAGAATGACAGTGTTTTAATAGAAGTCTCATTTCCTACGAGATGCATCGGTGTGTGTGCGGCGCTCTGCTTCTGCTCTCTGTCAGCATAGTATGGTGCCAACTGCTTTTGTATTCTCGCATAAGCACGCTGCCGCTCACAACAAAACGTGAAACATCGCTGCAAAAACGGCTGCATTTACCGAGTGGGCACAGATTGTTCACAAACTAGATGCACTATGCAAAGTACGGCATTATTTTGCTGACAACTGATAGTGAGCCGTCAGACATCACAAAGCCCATCTGTAGAAGATGTTTGAAACCAATCCAGACTGAGAGAGCCAACAGGTCCAACTTGACAAAACGTCTCGCGACATGTGATAGATAATGTAAATACATCACGCCCATTGGCCAAAATATCAGTACAGTGTCAGCTTTATCTTGTGACACGGAAGCTGTTTTCACCATAGGAGTGTTTGATTTCAAGGATGAGTCATTAATTTGGCTTTGTCTTTATAGCCAGCTGAGCGATGTGGCTAAAATCTCAGCGCTCACACTGTTAACCTTGACTAATGTCACTGAAAGCTGCTGAAAATCAGGCAATCATGAGTATGTAGATCAACAACAGCGGTCATACGATCAGCTGAATTCCTGTAGAAAAAAGGAATGTAGATGATTAAAATATCTGTGAAATAAATAAAATATCTCTGCAAGGATTTAGCTTTTTATAAAGCAACATAAACATGTAAAAACCTAATCTTAGTGAGGATTTCCTTCAATTCTGGTTGTATATAAACACACTATTGTACAATTATGATGTTTCCTCCCAGTGCCCTTCCCCTGCTTTTTTAATTTTTTTTATTTTTATCAACATTGTCAAAATATTTCCTTTTTTAAAAATATTCTCTTTTGTCTGTTATCACACTAGACTTCCTGTTTTCTATTTTTGTTGTGGTAGAGTGTCAGCAATGCTATTGATATATTTAGGCAGGTATTGTATCAAAGTTATAATTTTGGTGTCGTGACAACACTGCAGTGAAGTAGCCACACTCATAACAATGACTTTGCCCACACGTCTGTGCAACTTCAGCTGTCAGTTAAGTAGGATTTCAATGTGTGGCAGCATTTCAGTAAAACTGATGGTGACAGTCATTGCTTTGTACAGAATTTCTGAAAAGACCGTCAACTTCAGCAACACCTCAAACTTAACAAAGGCTCTTTTACATGCCTCAGCCTCGTTTAAGCCCTTGAATGTACCTCCCAACACTTTTCTTTACCTGCTGTCCTTCACGCTTTTTCTTGGTGAAAAATAAACTCTCTTAATCTACTAACAGACATGCTTTATTTCAAACAGTTGTGGTTTTAGACCAAATAAACACCGGAGTCTGATGGCCCACCCACACGATTTGACATGCCTGCTTTTATTTTCTCCCTTAAGCCAGCTACAATGATGTGTGGTTAACACACAAACGTCCCTGCTGGTCAAATTGAAGTCACACCTTCATCAGAAGTTTATTGGCTCAGTTTTTCATGTTGGCACTTGGTTGTTGATGTTGTTGGCTTTGAATGAATCCTCTCCGATGCTCATGTGGTTCGTGTTTGTGCCTGCACTGATTGTGAAGCTGTTCAAAGCCTTTAGCTGCACTGCTGGGTGCGAACCAGTGATTTACAGGCATGCTGCATTCCTGTGACTTCTTAAACAATTATATCAGCTGTCTTGCATTAGATTACATTAGATTAGATTGCAAAAGGAAACAGTTTGGCCACTATGTCATGGTAGATTATACGATCTCACATGACTGTGCTCTATGTTCCCGCAGTCTCTTTGGCCACACTGAGGAAGAGTATATTCCGGATGCTGAGAGCGTCTATCTGCACAGAGAACAACATCATCAGCCGCAGGCCTGCACCCTCGCTCAGTGCTTTCATCTCTACACTAAGGAGGAGCAGGTAAGATATTGACCGCACATGCAGCTGGTGCGCATATCCAAAAGCACACAGCCCTGTCGGTAGTTTGACATTAGAAAATAAATCATAGGTTTGCCTTGGCACATGTCAGCAGTGAGTATGTTTTGAAGTATAGTATGATATTTGTCTCCTCTCCACTGGTTGATTATAATTCTGCTGAAGTTCAAAAAGCTTTTCACTCGCTGTGGTTTTCCTGTGTATTTAACTCCTAATGCTATGTTTGGAATAAACGAGAAGCACAGAACTACATATACATTGTGGTTTAACTCGCCTGCAACTGCCCTGGAGGAGAATGGAGACGAGCTGGAGGAAAACTCAGGGCCTCATCCTGTGTGAGGCCTGTTTTATAAGCAGTGTGGTTGGAGTTTGTTCTTGATAGCCAGTCCTCGGGCTGTGTGTGTTTCAGCTGGCCCCGGACGATGCCTGGCGCTGTCCCCACTGCAAGCAGCTGCAGCAAGGCCGTATTAAGCTCAGCCTGTGGACCCTACCAGATGTGCTCATACTGCATCTCAAGAGGTTCAGACAGGTATTCAACCCTTATACACACCTTGATTCAAAATGTGATGTCAAATGTACTTTCTGATTGAACAGAGAAAGAACAATTGCTATTATTTATACATGTTTCTGGGTTTTAGCCATAATGCTGGACCTCTGAGCATCTTGTTGTTGGGAATGGCCAAGATTTAGGCTTTTTTTTTTTTAGTGCTGAATAAAGGGTGTTCCCAACACTGATACTCAAATACTGTCAAGAATTGTGTGCTAATGTCAAATAGCTGGTCAGATTTCTTGTTTTGTTTATCTTTTCCTCAATGAGATTTAATAAACAGTTGATGTTAGTTTCTTGTTTATTAAAATTCAACTGGTTTTAAATTGGGCTGCAGAGTGGGCTCAGTGGTTAGCACTGTTGCCTCACAGCAAGAAGGTCACCGCTTTGCATCCTGGTGAGGACATCAGGATCTTTCTGTGTGGAGTTTGCATGTTCTCCCTGTGCAGCGTGGGTTCTCTCCAGGTTCTCCTGCTTCCTCCCACAGAGTCCAAAAACATGTTCAGGTTAATTGGAGATTCTAAATTGTCTGTAGGTGTGAATGTGAGTGTGCTTGGTTGTCTGTCTCAAAGTGTAGCCCTGTGATAGACTGGTGACCTGTCCAGGGTGTCCCCTGCCTTCACCCTAAGTCGGCTGGGATAGACTCCAGCCCCCCGTGACCCTAGTAAGGAAACAACGGTCTATAGATAATTGATGGATGGTTTTCAATTAATTTTTTATTAAATTTGTTTCGACAGATTTTTAGATTTAATAACTTTGGCTTCATTTTTATTTTTTTATTGTTCACATTCCTCTAGCAGTAACCACATGTACTCTGAGGGGTTCACGAAGAGATTTTACTTTTAACTTCTGACACTACATCTACAATAAACCATCAAAATTTTAAAATGCTGTTTTTAAGTTAAACAATTTGCTTTAAACGATCCGTGTTAACATTTCCAGGTTGCTTTAGTACAGACTTCTCGGTAAAACCAGTAAAACACATGAAAATTGCTTCTGTTTATTTTCCCTGACTTGGCAAACAGTAAAACTGCACATCAAAGCCAACATCTGGTAATTAATGAGACAGACACACAGCCAAATTGTTATTTCATGGTCAGAATGTCATATGACAAAATTATCACAGAAACACACTGGTGATAATGAAGTTGAGGCTATGATCGGCTAAGTCAACATGATTACAGAAACAGTTCAAGGGCAGAAAGTTTATTACGGTTGCTGTCACACTGCACAGTGACAGTACTACACACAGCTGGTTGCTGTGACAGCCTGTTCCACCTCCGCTTGACGCCATCCTGCTCCCTGTGATCAGATATACTATACTTTAATTGAGCCAAATGCACAATTGTCTTGCTCTCATACACTTTTGTAAAAGTATCAAGCCATCTTTTTTTTCTTTAGTTGCACCCAGTAAGTGTTGTGTTCATGGAACCACCCCCACACTGCTAAAATCCTTATTTTCCGTACACAGATTGGAGGCTGTTAGAAAAGCCGTTTGGAAGGAGAAAAACACTTTTTGTCTAGGTGAAGAACTGAGCTGACGTTGAAGCTAATATAAAAACCTATTTTTACAAATGTAACCTGCTTCTATATCGTGACGTCAGGAGGGGGACCGGAGAGTTAAGATGCAGAACATGGTGAGGTTCCCGCTGATGGGGATGGACATGGCTCCTCATGTGGTTAAAAGAAGCCAGAGCAGCTGGAGTTTACCTTCCCACTGGTCGCCATGGAGACGGTCCTACGGACTGGGAAGAAACCCCGATGACTACCTGTACGACCTGTATGCTGTGTGCAACCATCATGGGAACATGCATGGAGGCCACTACACTGGTAATTCAAACCCTTGTAGCCTTTCACTTATATGTGAAAATGATGAGGATATATACGCATAGTTTAGCATGTTTTTTATCCATTTAACCCTTTGTTTCCCTCCGCTTTGTGCTCACAGCTTACTGCAAAAACTCCATTGATGGTCAGTGGTACTGCTTTGATGACAGCGAGGTTTCACCGATAGCAGACGATGATGTGTGCCAGCAGACAGCCTATATACTGTTCTATCAGAGGAGGACCGTTATTCCATCCTGGTCGGCTAACAGCTCTGTTGCTGGTCAGTTTTGTTTTGTTTTTTTAAGATGGCTGTAAAGTGGTTATATGCTTATTTTTTAAATAAACTGTAATATGAATGTGTTCTGTAATTTTGTATACGTCAAATTTCTGTCCAAGTATATGAAGAGAAAGTATGCTTGTACATATGTGAATGTCTTTGTGTTCTCAGTAAATCATGCACTAATTTTTAAATGCTTTCTCAGCTAATAACTCGACTGTGCTTTGTAGTGTGGCTTATTAATGGAGCAATTGTATGTAGATCAGCTGACTTTTGGCCATAATGATTATTACGTGAACGCATTTCTAACATAAGGAACCCAAAGCTTAAAAACTATCATATTTATAGGGACTACTAGAATAAAATGCTTTACAGCAGCTTTAAAAGTTATGATTGTCCTTTATGTGTTGTATGCAGGTTCAACTAGTTCGTCCCTGTGCGATCACTGGATCAACAGGTTACCTGGCAGCAGGCCTGCTAGTTTGGCCTCTGGAGCCTCCTCCAGGCGCACCTCTCTGGCTTCACTGGCTGAGTCGGTTGAGTTTCCAGGAGAACGTAGCGAGGATGACGGTGAGGCAATGCTTATATTTGTTTTATTCTGGTTTTATTTGAATTTACAGGGGCCAGACTGTAGATGTACATTTTCATTATACAAACATGAGCTGCTGCCATACGAATCGTATTTTAAATTCCACATCACAGTTCTAGCAGAGGTAGAAAGTTCAGAGTTTTGATTTTATTAATACGGGAGACCAAAGACGGCTACACACATGGCAGAGCATTAATTAAAGACCTAAATGATGAAAAGAAAGACCTTCAAAGAGACAGCTTTGCTTTCATAGTGGATTATTGTATTTCACCTTTTAATATGGGCAATTTAATACTCTCACTTCTGACAGTATTTGTGTTGGAATCACTAGATACCATCAAGGTTTCTCAAAACTCTTTCAACTCAGGAGCTCTCCCACTTGAACTTAGAAATTCAGATTTTTAAAACTCATCAATACAAGAGGCAACATTGCAGCGACAAGGCAAAAAGTGACATGATGCTCAAGTGGGACGAGCGAGACTGTACGCTCAGCAAATCTGTGTACTGCAGAAAACCTCAAATCAGAACGAATCAAACTGAGGAGGATGTTGGCTGTTGGTTCAGTGCTGCTGTATTAACCTACAGTAAATGAAGGCTCAGATGTGACCCAGATTGCACGGTGAGCATAAAAAATGCAGAAGAGTTATTTGTGAATGTTACTACATGCTTATTTCAAATGGTGCAAGCATTCTGTTTTAAAACTGTAAGAATGATTTGAGTGCATGGGCAGGTTTCCTGTTGTCATGTGTAGTATGGTGTAAAATAATCAACATAAGAGAAAGTGATGTTATGTTGCAAGCTGCATCTTACAGATTTGTATGGATGATGCTACCAAGCGATGCATTGTAATGTATTTTGTGTAAGTGTTGTTTTATTACTCATGTTTGAATATTTGAAATTCAATTAAGCGTGACTTATTATCACTTATTATTAAGTCATTAGTAGTTGTTATTTATACATTTCCTTAATTTGTCTGCAGACTTTAATTATTTTTCAACTATCGTTTGGTGGGAAATTCAGTGCATGAGCGACGTGAAGGGAAAAGCCTGAGATATCTTTTTATGACCTCCAAGGTGTGAATTAATACAGATATTAATTGTTAAGGTTAAGATATAATTAAGAATCAACTTTAATCTTTAGTCCAATTTATTTGAATCCGTTTAAAAGGCATATGAAAGGTTTTTGTTATTTCAGATTTTTTTCGTGCCTCATTTGCATGAACATGTTTCTATTACTGTTGATGACTGCTGTAGTTGTGATTTGGATTAGTTCATCATTTTGGTTTGAAATTCTTTAACAAAAAAATGGGTCTTTCTTTAATGTTTCCTTGATTTTTAGGAGGATTCTCCGTCCGCCCATTTGTGAGAAGCATTCAGCGTCAGAGCTTGTCGTCCAGGTCTTCCATTGCGAGTCCCTTGGCCTTCAGCGACAGTGGGATAAAGCCGTCTTGGTCTCTCTCTGCCAAGCTCCACATGAGATCCAACTCGCCCTCACGGTTCTCCCTCGACTCTCGATGTTCCCCTCCTCTAGAGAGGATAGGAGAGGCATGCGACGACAAAGTTTCCACTTCCTGTTTTGGCAGCTACAGTAGACATGAAAGATACTTTGGCAGCAGGACTCCCTTGTCTATGATGGAGAGCAACTTCACTGACCAGGACAATAAAAGGTTCTTGGACATGATGTACTGCAGGGCTCCTACTCCAGTGGAGAAGAAGAGCACCAAAAATGAGCCAACTGAGAACAACAACCAGATTACAGCTATAGACCAAAACATACTACCCACTCAAGCTACTCCCTCCAAAGAACAGAAACGTAAGAGTAGCATCGGAGGATTCACCTTAAAAGCAGATAGCACAGCCTCCACAAAGGGTTCGAGCAAAGCGGAGCAAGATAAAACCTCCAAAAAGCGATTGTGCTCCACCCATAAGACCTCCGCTTCCGAGACGTCTTCCAGTACACCTGTGAAAGGCAAAAAGCTGAGCAATACTAAAGAGAAGAGTGTGAATACGAAGAAGAACACCTCGACGCCCAGCGGGACTCCCTCCAAAACAAAGGAGTCAACTCAACCTCTAGAGGGAACGCCAAAACATAAGCCATGTGTCGGCTCCACACCTCAGTCCTCGGCTTCACCCTCACCAACTGCAAAGAAGAACCTCAGCGTCGCTGACAAAACCACCGCAAGCAGCCGGAAACGAATAGTAGAAAGGAGCTTCAGTAGAGATTCTATGCACACAAGCCCTCTGGTCGACAGCCTCCGAGGCAGCTCAGTAGCCCGCGCTTCACTTTCCAAGAGTGGGGAAACCAACCGGCCCGAGAGGAGGTCTGTTAGGAGTTCCAGCAGCAGTTCTTCTGTCACTAGTCTGCGCTCGCCCAGCGTGTCCACCAGAGACCTGCAGCGTAGTAGCAAATCTGAGGAAAAAGGATTGTCTTTCTTCAAGAGTGCCCTCCGACAAAGGGAAAGCCGCCGGTCGGCTGATTTTGGAAAAAGCACCCTGCTTACCAAAAAGGCCTCAGAGAGGACATGTAAGCAAAACGGACAAGCCAAGGAGATCGGTGGTGATAACGGAAAGACAGGAGACGCAGCGTCTTTGCAAACGTCTACAGAGACTCATGGAGGTGAGACAAAGTCAGAGACAAAAGAGTCTTCCAAGCCCGCCAGCTCTCTCAGCCGCGCTCTATTAGGCAAGGCCAAGTCTTCCACTTCTGAAGTAAGTTGCAAGTCTCCCTCAAATGGGAAGAAGCCTCTGGAAAGGATGGCATCTTCCCGAAAGCTGTCATCAAGCATGCAATCTCCTGCACGAACAACACAGAGGCCTCAATAATACATCTGTAGTCATTATATTAAACAAACATAATGCAGCTATTTTCTTTGTGCCTGAGTTTCAGTGAGCACCAGATAGATACGTTTTGTTTTTGATGTTATGGTTTTGTATGCTGGCATTAAATGCATATGTTGGCTTTGAGGTTTGAATATTGGCAGCCAGCTCTGAGTGTTTTCAGCTGTTTCGGATAAAGTCATCTGCATACCTGGGTGCCTAGCATTTGCGTGGTATGCTACTAATTTTAGTTTTTTACAACAGCGTGTACCGCATCTTTGAGCATTCGGTATGACTTTGATTGTAAGTGACAAAATGCCGTGCAGGATTGCTGACACAGAGGGTCCCTGAGCATGCCATATGCGATTCATCTGTACAGCACAACCCATTTTATTATGTGCACTGAGGACCTGCATGACAGAACTCCCTACTTGAATCTTGACATTCAAGTTCATTAAAATGCAGCGGCTTATACATTAAAAATAAAGCAGTCTAAGAAATATCCACCTTCACAGTGATGCGTAATTTGGCTTGTGGAGTAGCAGTTTCAGCAGACTCATTCTTCTGGTTAAGATGGAAATAAGCTGGCTGTCGATGCTTAAATCTTGCTGCTAACGGCAGAGAAAACAGAACCGTAACGTCAAAATTAGCCTCCGACAAATACTGAAACAGAGTTCGTGTTTCACAGACGTGCACACAGATGCAAAAGAGTTTCATTCCGAAATGTTTGTAGCTAAGTGTTGATAGTAGTTTTCATGAATTCTTTTGAGCCTATCTATTGACCACTGGTAAGTAAGGCCTCTGATTTTCAAACACTTTTCTCCATACTCCTTATGTATTGGTCAATAAGGGTCATATGAGTGTGTATTTCTTTCTTTTTTTGCCAAAAGCTATTGAGGAAAAGACCTTAGTAGACTATAGGTAACTTTTAAGTAATTTTACACTACATGTCTTGAGAGCATCTAGCATTGATACAGAGCAGCAGGAACAAATAAGTCTTAAAATATTCAAAGAATAGTTGTAAAAAAAACAACAAAACATAGATGATGGCAGGCCCAGGACCAAAACAGAACAGGATGCGAAACAATAAGAAATGGTCAAATTGAGAAAGTTTTCCAATATTTGAAAACTTTATTATTTTTTTTAATACTAGTACTTTTTTGATAGAAATGTATTTTATTAAATGTTTATTGAAGTTAAGTACTTTTTCCTCAAAAGGGATGGTGTGTTTTGGAATGAAACCCTTTAAAATCAAAGAATATAAATATATGTAGATGTGTCTGTACAAATATTGACAGAAAGTATATGGTATATAACCCATTTTTTTTTCTTTTCCATGAGCAAGATGAAAATAATCTTAAGCGCCTTTAAATGCTGTACATGGAAACAAATAATTGCCTTTGGCAACATAGTAGTCTTCTACTGTATGCATCACTGAGTAGGAATGTTATTTTGTTCGCACTTTGTATAGATAAAGTAGTATGATGATAATTATTGTGAAATTATTAATTATTTCAATGATTTCAAGACATATCGTAAAGCAGAGTCAACAGGCCTTAGACTTGAAATGGTAAAAGGGTACATTCATCTCAATGTTTCAGGGGTCATTTTACACAAAGGAATCACCCCTTTATTACACCTGGTGCTCTAACAGGCCACTGCTCCACTGGCACTGATATTTCTTAATGAGCATTCTTACAAATGTAGATGCTCAGAACTGTGACCACACACTTCAGTGAACTGGAAACCTGTTAGCAGTGTTTATCATGATCTGTGGTACCTCATTGGAGATTATTATACTTAGCCATTTTTTTTTCTTCTTCATCAGCCTGAATCAGAATACTGGTAATGAGCCGTTAGATTAATATTGTCTTTGAGCAGTTGGACGTGTGTGCTGAACTTTAGGAACTATCAGACGCTGCGTGGCATATTAGCTTTGCAGTCACATGATAGAAGCAGAGACAGAATATATTATCACCGCAGCTGTCATGACGCTTGCTGGCCCTTGTTTTCAATCTGTTGATGGCAATAGTCACACATTGGATACCAGCATAGCGTATGTTTTTAAAGAATGAATGTGGTCACGCCATTAAAAATCCAAACCATAAAATCTATTTTGCAATAAGCATCGACATAATCTTTGAGTTATAGATCTACAGTGTTCCTCTCACTATTTCTCTGTAGCATCTATCAGGTTTACAGTGGTTCTCAGATGGTTTTAGAGGAAATACCACTCACTTTAAACAGACGTGTTTGTTATTTAATGGTCTGTGCGATGTTTTAGGTTTTCAGAATGTGACGGCGTATTTTTTTTACAACTCATGATGTAAAAAGAAGTAGCTGTAGGTAGCACAGTTATGCCAGCTTTTTCTGGTGACTCTTGGATGGCAAGTGGAATGCTGCAGTGTGTTGTAGAAGCACACGTTGCTCAAAGATTCACAGTAAGCTGTTCAACAATAGATCGCTGCAAAGATGCTATATATTCACTCAAATCCTGTCCAGCAATATTTTATCTACAGTGGCAAGAAAAAAGTACATTTGCACCCTTTTTTTTTTTTTTTGCATTAATTAAACTAATAATCCACGTCTTTATGGGACACATGTATTTCACATTAGAGTGTTGGGGGATGAAATAAGTGAATGGTTGCATTTAACAGCTGGTCAAACCTCCTTTGCCAGCAATAAAACAACAGAATACACAGTAAGCCTAAATTATACGTTTATTTTCCTAAACAAATTCTCCCCAAAACCAGAACCTGACAAGTCTTTGAATGCTACACATTGAAACACTTGAACAGTTTGCTGTTCTTTGGTGTAAATATAAGAGTTGTAGAAAAGTCATCTGCTGCAGATTTTTTATGTTTGTACATAAAAAAAATGTACATTATTTTAGTAGCAACCTGTCTCAAAACATCCTAACTGTACAGAAATCTCTAAACTGTGACGTTACAGGTCATAGAAGTAACACACAGCTGTTTAAATGAGGTGGTATTCCTGTAGCTGCTCTTTTCTACTTAACATTATAACCTATCAGGAAACCTGTGCATGGCACTTTGGATCAAAGCAGGACAATTTTCTGTAAATTTGGCTTTTAACTGTCTTGTTTTCCTGTTTAAGGTCTAATGAAGTCGTAGTCGTGGGTAGTGTGTATATTAGAGCTGGATGGTGCCATTACTCTTACTTGTTTGTCCTTCATCTAACAGTTATATCTAATATTAATCCATTCATGTAGCCAAAACCTAGTGCATTAGGATGGGATGCGCCTTCTCTTTTTTTAAAAACATGGGTGCATTGTAAGCAAAGGTTCAGAAGACAATCAGAATCAGGGGGGTTTACTTTAAGCTATGTTGTTTATAATATATAAATATGGGTCCCAATTTGAGGTCACATTATTTCCAACCGCTTTTATGTAGCTCTTTTTTTCCTCTCCAAAATAAAACACTAAAAGCTGCAGCCCGTTCCCTTGTTTTGCCACCGTTTTTATAACCACCACGTTGACAATATTGTTGCTTTGTTTTCACAGCATGTACGATTAGATGAGACCTGGTGGTTTAGCGGTTAAGATCCTAATGGCTGGCAGCTCATTCAGCAGAAATGTATTGCGTTGTACGGTCTAAATTGTCGAAAGAGGTCTGTAGTGTGTGGAAAAGCTGTTACAGACCTGCTGCCAAACACGAAACTGGTTCATCAGTAGCTTCCAATCATAATGAAAAAACTACCATCGGATAGATGTTGATTTTGCAGTGATTGAGCAATATTCATTTTATTTAGTATTCATCAGTTCGATTTAACTTCTTTTAGACTTGTGAGCCTAGACAAGGCCAGAAAAGTGCTGCACTCTAGAATTGAATCCACAGCGGTTGAAACAAGATGTCAAAATTCAGGATGAAATGTTGAAACGCCGTTTTTTCCCCCCACGATTGATTTTTCCTCTCTAGCTTACTACGCTGCAGTTGTTGTCTGCGTTTTTAATTTTTTGTAAATTTGTTGTCAATGTACAAATCTGAGAATGATTAAGGAATGCAGTGTTGCATGAAAACGCTAATGCATGTATTTTATTAACTATGCAAGAACCTGCAGCTGTGTAACATAGAAAGCAGCGCTTGGCTGGTATATTCCATGGCTTCATTTGCACACCATTCCAATATTTAGAAAACTGTAAAATGCAGAATATTTCATCTGTACTTAAACTTAAAAATCTTGCCTATATTTAAAAAAAAAAGGAAAAAAAAAAAATCTATTTAATGCCATAACTGCTTTTAGCATTCTACCATTTAATGTTTTTATTTTTTTTCTCTCTTTATTTTATTTTTTTAAATTCTGCTGGTCTGTGCTCTCTGGGTGCTCCTACCAAACCGGTAGGTTATTGTCTTTGTTGTTTAATATTTACTATTTACTGTTGTACACCAGCAGAGACAACACTATGGATACGATAATCTCTATGTGGTTAGTAAATAGACTCATTATGTGTGTACGTATTGTGATAAAGCCTTCCATTACTTCACTTCAGTAAAAAAACAGTTTGTGAGCCTTTGTTGCCATGTTCTCAGCTGCATTGAAGATGTGGTCTAATATATATATAAAAAACAAACTCAAATAGATATATGTAGCTAAATGCAATAAAGAAAGATAGTAAATTTATAGTTTTATAATACAGTACGTAACGACATTAAAATGTTCAGTTAATACTTTTTGTAGTACTTACATCAATCATTTCAATCATGATGTAATTTTTATTATTTTTTAAATTCTCAACAGGCAGTTTATCAACAGAAAAAAACAATGACTTTCAAAGTTTTAAAGCAGTGCCATGCTTTTGTTTCTTTTTTCTTTCTTTCTTTTTTTTTTATAATGACTGGATAAGTGGGTACAAAACATTAATCACTTTAGTTGTTAAAATGCATAGAGGCTTCCCTGCAGAACTTAATTAAGATTAGAGAATCCTAGTGTCGAGTTATTGTTGTGACACGGCTGTTTTGTTTAACAGAGTCACAAAAAGTTCCACTTTTTTTTTCCAAGGGTAAACTTTTAAGATTAATGATATTACACGCAACACGTCCGAGTAAGCATTTTACCGCTGAATCAAGGTTGCAATAACCGCTAAAAAAAACTGAAATACCACAATCCTATTACAATCCTACGGGCTTAAGATCCTGCACATGCTGTGGTACTACAGTAATAAAGCTGTGTGGATGTGGTGGAGTGGTGTCCTCAGTATTAAAAGACTAGCGAGGCTTTAAGAGGCTTTTGAGGGCATTTTGCAAATGTAAACACTACAAGTCGAGGATACCGAAACTTTTCAGAAGCCTTAAGCAACACACATTGTAACGGACAGTTTCTGGGGCGACGCAGAAACCGAGGAGCTGAATGAATGTCATGTCTCGTTTCATTTTTTAAGCTATTATGGAAAAAACAAACAAAACAACACTATTGTTCTAAATGCACAGCATGTTTCTCCTTTTACTTTTTGTATAATTCATAAAGCATTTTGTAAAATACAGTATGTTGCATTTAATGAGATTTCTTTTCACTTCCAAGCGTATTTTACTGTATTCCTCGTTCTTCCAGGTTCATGAGGTTATTACTGACTTCCATGTTGTCTGAAATGACCAAATGTTTTTTTTAGTTTATTTTATTCTACATCAGAACCTCTGCTCCAGCGTATGCCTGTTCATTTTTAATTTATGACTTATTTTGACATTCTGCAGTTTCAAGTTCATTCGGCTGCATCAAAGTCTTCTGTGTTAATTTATTTGTTGTTTTTCATATATGCACTTTTAATTTTTTTTTCCTCCAAAAGGACAAATGTGTATATACTTTGTTGGTTTACCCATGCAAGTACAAAAAAAGGAAAAATCTGATTAAAAATATTGAAACTGTTTTTGTTGTGTTGTTACATCCGTACACTAGGTGGCGCCTTTCTCTAACAAATGAGCCCCAGCAAACAGTCGTTGGATTCATTCCTTTCTGGAGACTCACTGGTGCAGTATTAAGAAATAGAACACTGAAGTTGTAGAGTTTTGTGCGTCACTGTTTCACAACTCGAGACTGATTAATGTCAGAAAATCCTGTGATCTCACTCTGAGCTGGAAATGAGTGTAAACACTCAAATGTGGGCTCAGTGTTCAGATCTGCAGCGCTGTCCACACTCTGCTGCCACAAAAAGCGTTTCTATTCTCGCAGCTGTCACAAAATATACTGTACCAGCGTGAGACACATTTTTGAAGTTGCTGTATTTGAATGTTCAAAGATCTTCCCTTTTTTTTATCCAGTTTTGATTCGCTTGAATTTGGGCACCAGAGTGTGTGAGCGCACAAATCTGCTGCTTGTTGTCTTTGCTGCTGCAGGGGGACTGTGTGTTATCTGAGATCTCAAGGCCGTCCAGTACGCGAGTGGCTCTACATTTCTGGACAGGGTTATCATTTCAAGCTTTTTTTTGTTCTGGTTGCGGTGTATAGAAGTGCAGATAGAAAGCATGTCTGAGCACAGTTCAGTGTCCACTTTAGCCCCTTTAACTGTGATGTTACATTAGTTTTGTTTAATCAGCAGATCATGTTCCTATGACTAGATTAAAACACTTCTATCAAATCAGATGAGATAGATGCATTTCTGTAGCTGGCAGGAGACAAAAAAAGTGACGAGGAGCTCAGGCTGTCTCAGCTTTGAGCTACTACTGATTCATTTGCTGCTATTTCTTTACACGACGGACCATTTGTTTCAACATGTGGAAAAAATACAAATACAGATCAGTTTAAGATGCTGTTTTCTTTGTAGATTGGGCAATTTCTTCTAGCCTCATTCCTAAAAACTACATTATAGGAGGATGATATGTTTTGCTATCAGATGAAAGTTGTTTTCCTTCAAAATGAAGTCAAAGGAATGCGTTTATCAGCACTCATCAAATGTATTCATACGCTTCCATTAAAGAAAAGAAAAAAATCACAATCGTCACTCAAATAACTAGAAACTGAAAAAAGTAATAAATAAAAATTTGCCAAATTAGAATTTAGTGAAATAAGACATTGCTTTTGGATGGTTGGAGTTGAAAAGAATTTTTTTAAAAACAACTGTTCCGGCCAAATTAGAGCACTTTGCTGATGAGCAGTGGGCCAAACTCAAAATACCTGTCAACAGGTGCAGAAGTCTGATTGAGAGTTACAGAAAACACTTGATTGAAGTGACTGGCTCAACGGGGTGTTCAACAAAATATTAGTTTACTTTTTTTGTTTTTATCTATCTATCTATCTATCTATCTATCTATCTATCTGTCTGTCTATCTGTCCGTCCGTCCGTCCGTCCGTCCGTCCGTCCGTCCGTCCGTCCGTCCGTCCGTCCATCCATCCATCCATCCATCCATCCATCCATCCATCCATCCATCCATCCATCCATCCATCCATCCATCCATCCATCGTCATGATTTTTTTTAGGACATTTGAGGACGACTGTATCTACTTACTTCTACGTACTTTACTGCAAACGGGACCTTTTAGAGGTCAGTTTATCTCCTGTCACNAATAATAAATAAAAATTTGCCAAAATAGAATTTAGTGAAATAAGACATTGCTTTTGAATTGTTGTAGTTGAAAAGAATAATTTAAAAAAAAAAAAAAAAAAAAAAAAACTGTCCCGGCCAAATTACAGCACTTTGCTGATGAGCAGTGGGCCAAAATCAAAATACCTGTCAACAGGTGCACAAGTCTGATTGAGAGTCACAGAAAACACTTGATTGAAGTGATTGGCTCAACGGGGTGTTCAACAAAATATTAGTTTACTTTTTTGGGGGTGTTTTTATCCATCCATCCATCCATCCATCCATCCATCCATCCATCCATCCATCCATCCATCCATCCATCCATCCATCCATCCATCCATCCAAGCTCATGATTTTTTTAGGACATTTGAGGACGACTGTATCTACTTACTTCTACGTACTTTACTGCAAACGGGACCTTTTAGAGGTCAGTTTATCTCCTGTCACGTTAAACAGAAGCAGCCATTTGATTTCACACTTTTATAGTGATGTAATTGCACAGCTAGATCAGATCACAAGTAGATTTAGAGGCCAGAATGTCATCTCTTATCATCGTCCACCTCTCTGCTGCCTCACAATCCATCTTAAACCAAAGCAATCTTTCCCCAAATGTTAAAGCATCTTTGTCCCACTCTGTCTGTTTGATAGTCATCAGAATGTTGGTTTATACTATTTTAAAAAAAGGGACAGTCAGTCAGCTCCTGGCTCACATCCACCTCATGCATCAACATTTTCCCCCCCGGTAAGGAGAGGATGCCATTTACTCTTATTCTCCAGTGCTTTTAAATGGAGTCAAACCAGCGTCTGACTCCTCTCTCATGATGGTATCAGTCCCCCCGTGGTACAGTGGAGTTACTTTAGCAATTCGCCTGTGGTTTTATCTCCTTTGTCCCCTCTTTTGACTCCACCCCAGAGAGTGCAGCGAAAAATCAATAATAATTGATTTTAGAAGGCAGGAAAAAGAGGTTGGAATTCAGGGGAAGGACCAGAGGAAGACAGAGACAGAGAGGTATGAGCAGAGAGGTGCAAGACCCTCAGCATAATATGCATGTGCTGGCACAGATAAAGGTCACCAACATGAACCTGTCTGTAACAACAGATTATAAAGTGTCTCGGCCTCACGGCTACTGAGGTCTCACGTATAAAAGGAGAATAATGGCAGCTGCGAACGGTGACGCTACATCTTAACAGCAGGTCATTTGATACAGTAAAGAGAGGCAGCGCATTGAATGTATTTTCTGTATTCTAGCCATTGTTCAGCTCATAAAAAACTGCAAGATGTAGTCACTTGAAGTGGGGAAATAAAACCGAATCGGATGTCAAATCAGCTGTCTCGCTTTGAGAATTAATTTGCCGTGTTCTTCCTTGTAGCAGCCAATTAGTAGTAGCCTGTTTTTCTGCATGTTTTCACTTGTTTGTTAGTCCACAATAACACTCAATCAACCTTCACAGGGTAATGTTCAAAGCAGGACAAGACAGCAACAGACTTTCACTACACAGAGGAAGGACTGTTTGATTTCTATTGCAGGATTCGTCTGGGGTCCGCCGGGTCAGCGCGCCTGACAGCTTGGAGATTGATAGTTGAGATCTTTCCCAGGCGGAACAGTGTTGGACAACATGAGCAGTGATCCAAGGCACCAGTGGAGTCGGGTGGAGGTGGGGCATCTGTGTGGATCCCTCAGCGAAGTGTGTGTGTGTGTGTGTGTGTGGTCTTTTGGCTGAAGGCCATTTCCCCCCCTGTCATCAGGACTGCTGAATGGTACTCAGTACCTGCAGACTTGATCTGAGCACCTGGGGACCCATCAATGGCTCAAGATGAGTTAAATTTTAAAGAAAATATGAGCTCGCTTTTTTTTTTTTTTCTCTCCCTTTGTTTTTGTTCCTTGTTTTCTTTATTGAATTTTTTCTTTATTTATTATTCCATGCTGTCATTTCCTCTCCTGCTTTATCTAGTGTTTTCAGACAAAGCAAATACCCAAAGATTAGCACTGAGAGAAATCGTCACTCTTCCTGATTTTGATCAAAGCCGTTGGAACGGTGAGTTGATTTTAATATAGATGCGTGCACACATGGACGTCCAATCACAATGCTGTTATACGCTGCTGCGCTGATTTTTTTTTTTTCTTCTCGTATGAAAATAACATGCGTATATGAAAAAAAACAACAAACATTTGTTCAACGTCACAATAGTGATGGTATGAGTTGATACAGGCTGGTCGGGTCATGCTCCACTTTACAGTGTGTGTGTGTGGTGGGAGTGTCCAGATGTTGTTTCATGGTCTTCTGATGCCAAACAAAAGATCTGGTGTGCAACTCATATAGGAATTTGTTTTGTCCCACTTGTATATATACAGTTCATTTCATGTTTGAAGCTCAGCAGTGTAGAAAAAGCTGCTTCCTGATATAGTTCAAATCCACATTGGAAAATAGCCTCTTGTATGTGTGTGTGTACATATAGTTCTTTTAGTGTATTTTTTGAAGCTGGTGGCTGTAGATGGGCGTGCTAGCGTGGCCGTGGATCCCAGGCACTCATGATAATAGCATGCAGTATGTATTTAACAGGCCCATTCTTCTGATGTTATGGTTGCAGGACCAGAATCAGACAGGTGTAATGACCCTCTGTGCGGCTCAGCAGATTTCTACTGACAGCACTTTCACAATTACTCTGATGGCGTACGTCTATGTTTGGACACATTACCATCAGCACTGATAAAAAAAAAACAAAACAAAAACAAACAAAAAAAAAAACGTGCCTGAACCTGTCACCGAGCAAGTCAATACCACAATACCAGAGTGCCTCATTTGCATATCGATGTATTTGCACACATATCTGGAATACCAATATAACCTGAAGATTAAGCTTGGGAACTGTTTCTTCAAATGTGGGTTACTTGTTTATCGCTGCTGCTGCTTTTCCTCAGAGAACAACGTGACTGCATGTATGAGATTACATGCATCTTTACAGAGAAACATACATTGCAGATCTTAGAATATGGAAAAATCTCATTAAAAATTTGTGGGAGGGGGGAAAAAAAAAAAGACATTTCTAGGGCAAAGCAGCACTAACTGAAGGAAGAAAACTCCAAATTGACATATATTTTTTTTGAAAACTTTGCAAAAGAGATAACTAAAAAGCACTACAAGTTCATAAATCAGCCCAGTCACACGATAAACAAGGATAATGGGCCTACAGGCTCTTCTACACCACAGTGGTACCGCGTTAAAAGCTGCCACACACTGCTCCGAGTCATTTTACTGTCATCACCATTTATTATAGTTACATGATCACCTGTTGTAAAGTTTATGAGGAAGAAAGTAGAACAGGAACTGTTACCATCGCTCACTAATAC